GGGGTCTCTGGGACAGGCGATGCTGGTGATCGATGGGGCCACATTTCGACGGAGGGGTTGTGCCTGAGTGGGTGGGATCCTGAAAGGTGCTTGGGGTGCACAGCACAGGAGAGCTGTGGGATCGCGTCGTGGCGTTGGCTCCTCTCCTCCGCCGGGGCCCCTCTCCTCCTCGTGGTGCTCGCCCATGTCTCAGGTGCCCTGGACAGGTTCACTGTGCCCATCTGGGGCCTTTGGGCACAGGAGTCCTGTCCCATTGCATGGGGAGGGCTGTGCTGGTGGGACACTGTCTGACCCCCGTCTTCTCTCTTCTCTCCTCTCCCTCTCCAGGTTCCCTGGTCCAGGCAGCGCTGACTCAGCCGGCCTCGGTGTCAGCGAACCCAGGACAAAACGTCCAGATCACCTGCTCCGGGAGCAGCAGCAGCTATTATGGCTGGTACCAACAGAAGACACCTGGCAGTGCCCCTGTCACTGTGATCTATAACAGCAAGAGACCCTCAGACATCCCTGCACGATTCTCTGGTTCTGCATCTGGCTCCATGGGCACGTTAACCATCACTGGGGTCCAAGCCAAGGATGGGGCTGTCTATTACTGTGGTAGCTGGGATGACAGCAGTGCTGCTGTGTCCTGGTTTGAGCTAAATAGAACTAATTTTCTATTTAGTGGTTTTACTGTTTTCGTCTCTTCTAACTGGCTGAACTTGTTGAAAACTAGCAGCATGTTTTTCCCAGACAGTGTGAACTGATAAGCTCAAGGCCAAGTGTCTCACCATGGGTGCTGTGTCTGTGCTTACAGGGGGGAAGCAGACCCAAAACTGATCAACTAAGTATTCCATCCCACATACATCAAACTTGGTATAAAGCTGAGGGATTACAAGGGTCTCAGCCTCTTCTTCCATCTTGGAGCCCTTCCATTTCAGACCCTTCCGTCTGTCTGGATCCTGCAATGGCCGAAGTCCAAGCAGAACCCTGCTGGTTTGTCTGCCCCTGATCATGATTCGTGTGTTCCTGCATCAGCTCCCACTGCTGCTGAGTTCAGTCTGGGACTTTTCCAGTGCCCTGCTCTTCAGAGCCCCTGGGGACGTATATGTCACTGAGGGGATGGTGGAGGGGAGGATTTTATATTGGTTTTGCATCTATATTTGTACATATCTGTATATATTTCATTATTTTCCTATTTACATTATTATCCTGTAGTATCAGTATTACTGTTTTATTAAACCTGTTAGTTTTCTTTTCCAACCCGTAAAGTCCCTCTCCCTTCTTCTCTTTTCTCTTCCCTTGTGGGGTGGGGAGAGGGGTTAACAGAGAGCGTCTGTCCAGGATGTAGTGGCCGGCCCAGTCCTAAACCATGACATGCACGTGTAGTGACAGAGAGAGGTTGAAATGAGGTACAGAAGATTTAAAAATGGAGAGGGTTTTTTTTTCTGCCCTTCTCCTCTGTGACCAAGCAGAATTTTGGGAGGGTCTGTGCCCTTTGCAAAACCATGGCTGTAAATGTCCAGCATTTCATGTCCTCGAGCACTGGAGGTGACACTGTGGATGGGGACCATTGTCCCTGCCCTATAAGGCTTGCAGTGTGGCCTTGTCTGTCACCTCACTGCCTCTTTCTACTGACAACCATGACCTCCTGCTGCTGCCAGAGCAGCCTCTGCGCTGGGACGTGTTGGGCTGGGCTCTGCTTCCTACAATTGTCTGTGACCTTGTCCAGGTCTGTTCTCTGACAGTGACATTTCCTGTCCCACTGCATGGGGAGGGCTGTGCTGGTGGGGCACTGTCTGACCCCCATCTTCTCCTGTCTCTCCCCTCCCTCCCCAGGTTCCCTGCCCCAGGCAGCACTGTCTCAGCCACCCTCTGTGTCAGCACACTCAGAAGAAACCATTCAGATCACCTGCTCCGGGGGTGACAGCAGCAGAAGCTATGGCTGGTACCAGCAGACACCAGGTCACTGTGATTTATGGTAACAACAACAAGAGAC